GTGAAAGAAAAGCTGTTTACATTTCCAATAAAAGTCGCTATACTCTACTTTTTAATTCATTAATTGGTTTTGCGTATAACATGCGATTAATCGCGATTTAAAAAATTAATTTTTGCCCAGCCCTAATTTTTTCATATGTGATGTGCTTTGTTACCTCTATCCCATTTAGAAAAAAAAAAAAAAAGTTGTCGGGTGGTGGAAGGAAAACTTTGAGGATCTCCTCAGTCCCACCATCGTGTCTTCTGAGGAGGAAGCAAAGGCTGGGGTGGGGGACTCAGCCATCACCCTGGCTGAAGTCACTGAGGTTGTGTCAAGCTCCGGAGGTGGATGAGATGAGGTCCTGAGTATTTTAAGTCTCTGGATGTTGTGGGTCTTGGCTCACACGTCTCTGGCGCGTGGTGGTCGGGGACAGTGCCTTAAGACGGGGGACCGGAGGGTGTGTTCCAACTCCAGGGGAATCACACAAATCATCACAAAATCCATCTTGGCAAACAAAATATTCTGAATCAGCACCCTCAAATTATGTAAAAAAATGGTTTACCGACTTTTTCTCAAATTTGCTTGTCTCTTGACAAGTTTTTTATCCAAATTACTGTAGCTGGTCAGACCGAAATCATTCATATTTTTCAAAATGTAATTATTTTCATTTTATAGTCAATAGCCTTTTGAGTGTCCTTAATCTGTGACCTGTGATCTTCAGACCTCATGGACACTTGGAGAGCGTCTTCTGCTGCTCTTTACACAGAGGACACACTGTTCCTTCAGTCTGACGCAGCTTGAGCCTGGAGTTATTGTTTAGATCACGTGGCCTCCGTCCATCTCAGTTCGTTTGATTGTTCAGACCCGTCGCCCTGAGGATTTCAGACCTCCAAACCACTGGACCTGTGGACCGCACCACGATGAACATGTCCACCCTCCTGGTCGTATGAGCACATTACACAGAACAGCTTGATTGATCAATTTAGACTCAACACATAAGTTTCGATAACTCTTTTAGTTAACTCAAACTTTTATCTGATCTCCAATCTTTAGACACCAGCTCAGACAAGCCTACACTCATTTGCATATTTCATATTTAAATACTTCTGTTTAACTTGGTCAATAAATCTTCATAAACCACAGTTTGCTTTGCTGAATAGTGATGTTATTTCCAGTTATGGGTCACTGATATGGACAAGAATTTACAAACCTTCAGAACAACTGTTTAATTAAACTTAGATAATTAACTTTGATAACTGGTTATACTGGATTGGACTGGTAATATTTCTCAACTCTTACTTCTAGTCAAAGCCAAACACTCAAAGTTCACAAACCCCCTCTCTAATACTAATACATAATGTTGTTGCTGTTTTATGTTTTACCTTCTATTTATGTTCTGTAACTGCTTTTGTTTTTGAAGTGCTGCAAGTAAAGTTGCATTGGACATTATTGAAGTAGTGAGCCAGCTTTTGTTTGTCAAAAATACAGAGGAATTACTGAAAGTGCAGTAGATCTAAATGACCATGCTAGAATTTTTTTGTCAGTAAAAACCTTAATTTTTATATTAAAGATAAAAACGATCTCCTGGGGGACTTCAACGCCCACGTGGGCAACGACAGTGACACTTGGAGAGGGGTGATTGGGAGGAACGGCCTCCCTGATCTGAACCCGAGTGGTGTTTTGTTATTGGACTTCTGTGCTAGTCACAGTTTGTCCATAACAAACACCATGTTCGAGCACAAGTGTGTCCATCAGTGCACGTGGCACCAGGACACCCTAGGCCGGAGGTCGATGATCGACTTTGTAGTCGTTTCGTCTGACCTCCGGCCGCGTGTCTTGGACACTCGGGTGAAGAGAGGGGCTGAGCTGTCAACTGATCACCACCTGGTTGTGAGTTGGGTTCGCTGGCGGAGGAGGAAGCCGGAAAGACCTGGCAGGCCCAAGCGTGTAGTGAGGGTCTGTTGGGAACGTCTGGCGGAGCCTCTGTCAGAGGGACTTTCAACTCGCACCTCCGGGAGGACTTCTCCCGGGTTCCGGGGGAGGCTGGAGATATGGAGGCCGAGTCGGCTTCGTTCTCGGCCTCTATTGTCGATGCAGCTCGCTCGGAGCTGTGGGCGTAAGGTCTGTGGTGCCTGTCGCGGCGGCAATCCCCGATTGAAAACCGGAAGTAAGGGATGCCGTCAGGCTAAAGAAGGAGTGCTATTGGGCCTTATTGGCTCGGGGGACTCCTGAGGCAGCTGACAGGTACTGACGGGCCAAGCGTGCTGCAGCCTTTGCGGTCGCAGAGGCCAAAACTCGGAGCTGGGAGGAGTTCGGGGAGGCCATGGAGAAGGACTATCGGAGCCTCAAAGAGATTCTGGCAAACCGTCCGGCGCCTCAGGAGGGGGAAGCAATTCTTCACCAACACTGTTTACAGTGCGGGGGGAGAGCTGCTGACCTCGACTGGGGACGTTGTCCGGCGGTGGAAGGAAAACCTTTAGGATCTCCTCAATCCCACCGTCACGTCCTCCGAGGAGGAGGCCGAGGCTGGGGACTCGGAGGCGGACTCATCCATCACCCTGGCTGAAGCCACTGAGGTGGTTGACAAGCTCCTTGGTGGCAAGGCTCTTCAACATCGCATGGCGGTCGGGGACAGTACCTCTGGACTGGCAAACCGGGGTGGTGGTCCCTCTGTATAAGAAGGGGGACGGGAGAGTGTGTTCCAACTACAGGGGAACCACACTCCTCAGCCTCCCTGGTAAGGTCTATTCCAGGGTAATGGAGAGGAGAATCCAGCCGACCACAGAATCTCACCTCTGCTGTTTGCAGATGATGTTGTCCTGTTGGCTTCATCAAACCAGGACCTGCACTGTGCACTGGGGTGGTTTGACCAGTGTGTGAAGCGGCTGGGATGAGGATCAGCTCTTCCAAGTCCAAGGCCATGGTTCTCGACCAGAAAAAGGTGTCTTGTCCTCTCCAGGTGGGTGGAGAGTCCCTGTCTTAAGTGGAGGAGTTCAAGTATCTCAGGGTCTTGTTCATGAGTGAGGGGAGGATGGAGCGTGAGATTGACAAGTGGATCGGTGCAACGTCTGCAGTGATGTGGTCACTGTATCGCATGTATTGTGGTGAAGAGGGAGGTGAACTGAAAGGTGAAGCTCTCGATTTGCCGGTCGGTCTTCGTTCCTACTCTCACCTCTGGTCATGAGCTCTGGGTAATGTCAGAAAGGACGAGATCGCCGATACAAGTGGTCGAAATGAGTTTCCTCCGCAGGGTGTCTGGGCGTCTCCCTTAAAGATCGGGTGAGGAGCTCAGTCACACGGGAGGAGCTCGGAGTAGAGCCGCTGCTCCTCCACGTCGAGAGGAGCCAGTTGAGGCTCGGGCATCTGTTCTGATGTCTCCTGGACGTCTCCCTCGGGAGGTGTTCATGTCCCACCGGGAGGAGGCCCCGGGGAAGACCAGGACACACTGGAGGGACGATGTCTCTGGACTGGCCTGGGAACACCTCTGGATCCAACAGGAGGAGCTGGAGGACGTGTCTGGGGTGAAGGAAGTCTGGGAGTCCCTGCTTAGACTGCTGCCCCCGCGACCCGACCCCGGATAAGCACAAGAAAATGGATGGATGGATGGTCTATAAGGCTCAGCACCACTATGTTAAAGGATATTTTTGTTTACAAAGCCCTTCAAAAGAAAATCCTGCAGCCTCAGTGAGACTGAGGCTGATTTGTTAGATCAACAAACTACATGCATAAGGCCTAATAACAATGACAAGGTGTAAAACAATAAATATGTATTTCTGTTGATCATTTAGACATGTTTATGTTGTTTTGTTGTATTTCAACAATCATGTTGTAGCAGTTAATAAATAAGTTCAAAGGTCATTCAGTCACATGTCTGTGCTGCTTCACTAATTCTCTTCACTTCACTTTAAGAATCACTCATTTTGAATAATTAATCAAATAAATGAACATACAGTGTCCAACATCACTACCTGGAGTAGACCCAGGACCATGATTAACTTAAACACAGAACACACAGGTCTGTATTTTGAGACAGACACAAAAGTAGATTTCATTAAGGAAAGTTATTTATTTAAAACTTTGTCAAGTCTTTATTTTCGGAATGCAGGTTCAACTTGAAAAAAACAGGGAAACAGACACAAGGCTCAACTCGGCTTGAAGTTTTTATTGGAATAATTTGATTCTTTTAGTAGCAGTAGTAGTAGCAGTAGTAGTAGTAGCAGTAGTAGTAGTAGCAGTAGTAGTTAGTAGTAGCAGTAGTAGTAGTAGTAGTAGTAGTAACGTAGTAGACTAGTAGTAGTAGTAGTAGCAGTAGTAGTAGTAGCAGTAGCAGTAGTAGTAGCAGTAGTAGCAGTAGTAGTAGCAGTAGTAGTAGTAGTAGTAGCAGTAGTAGTAGTAGTAGTAGCAGTAGTAGTAGCAGTAGTAGTAGTAGTAGCAGTTTAGTATAGTAGCAGTAGCAGTAGTAGTAGTAGTAGTAGTAGTAGTAGTAGTAGTAGTAGCAGTAGTAGTAGTAGTAGTAGCAGTAGTAGTAGTAGCAGTAGTAGCAGCAGTAGCAGTTCAAAAACCTTTAAAAGTAAACAAATGTGTAATGATATTAAATTTACATTTCACAATTTCATCAGTTATATAATCAATTTTAATTCTAATTAATACACTTCAATTATAATATTTATAATTTATATATAATATATATATTATATATATATTTATTATATTTTAGTATACATTTTATACATGAACTTAAATAGCTACAATTTTTAACCAATCATTTCACCAATAATTTAATCCTATAATTAACTTTTTATACAGTTCTAAATGAGTACATGAAATATAACACTTTATTATTTGAAGATAACTTTTGATACATTGTTTTTTAATTGCTAAATTAAAAATATATATATATATATATATATATGTTTTAACTAGAGCTACTTTAACTTAGAATTTACATCATTTTCTCTAAATCAGATTTACTACTCTATAAATAAACAATTTAGCTATTCAACTTAGCTCCATTTTGGCATCTTCAATCTTAAATTGAATTTATTTACAATTTCTTTTAAACTTAAAACTAATTTTAAAGGTAAATTTCCTCACCAGTGTCTCTGTTTCCTTCACATTCCTTGGTTTGGTTTGATTTGTTTGCACACCTGGGCCTAATGAAATGATTCCAGAGACACACCTGGTTACCTGGTGTTTTGGTCTTGCTGCCACCTACTGGCCAGACTAAAAATAACCTCATCAACTCATAAAAAGGGGAGGGGAGAGGGGAGGAGCGGTGAGGAGGAAGAGGAGGGAGCAGAGGTGAGAGGAGACAGGGCCCAGGAGTGGAGGTGAAGACTTGGTGCAGGGGCTCGGCTTTTTGACTTAACAATGTTTGACAAGTTGTTCCCTGTTTAGAATTTTGTTGGCTAAAATAAAAAGTACCATTATTTATAACATGCTATACAGTGATTAAAAACAATTACACATTTCCTTCCACAATACACTAAAAGTTAAAATATTATGTAAAGATTCAAAGATTTTTTTAAAATAAGTTTGGGCAACCCAGCCCTATTGTATTCTCACATAACATGACTACTCATGTCTAACAGTGCACCAGCTGATAAGAAAACAGAACAGACACATGACGAGGGGAGGGGGAAGTGGCAAGATTCACTACTGGTTTAAAAAATCTACAAACATACATACTATATGAAAACATCAGTAAATATTGAAAAGCTGAGAAAAACAGGAGATGAGTTGCTCTGTTGTTCATTGTTGTCTGGTCGAATGTGGCAGGCTACAGTTCATCTTCTGCTTCCACTCACAACATCTTCAACAGATCACATCTAAAACACTGGATTAACAGAAAATATTAACAGAATGTATCACAAGCTACAACATAGTATTCTGTCCTGTTATGTTTTTACCTACTACGTCTTCTTCTTTGGACTCAGGTCATCATAGTGTTTCTTCACCAACTCAAACTCATTCTCAAAATCTGTAACAACAATAAAGAACAATGGCTAATTCAGTGTGTTGACTTAGAAAATGTGTGTGTATGCCACCTAAACAGGTTACAGAGAAAATGTCTCGCTTTAATAACACAATAATAGATTTAATAATACATTCTTAGACAGGCAGGAGCAGACTGACTGAGGGCACTGGAGCAGGCACAGACTTAATTCATACTTCATAAGAAAGAGGCTTGTTCTATTTTTTGCATCCGCAAGAACAAGAACAAACTTATTTTGGGCTTGGACATTTTATACTTTTTACATATTCATGTACTGTCATGGTTCATATTTTGTAGTTGTAGTTTTTGCTTATTTTAGTGTATCTTATTCCTTTAGTGTTGTGTGCCCTTGGTCTTATTTTGACATTTGTTCTGTCTGCTTGTTATTTTGAGTTTTACTTCCTGTTTGTTGATGGTTTGCCCCACCCTAATGTGTTATATACCCTGTGTTCTTCTCTGCCCTTTGTTGGGCCATTGTCATTGTCAGTGTCTTGTCTTGTTATGACAGTTTAGTTTTAATTTGGGGGTTTTTGGATTTATGGATTTTTGTGTTTCAAACTCAACTCAACTCAAACTCAGCTTCATCTGCAGTCCTGCACTTTGGGTCGTCCCTCTGCTCTAAACATGAACATGTACTGTGTGTCTTCTGTGTTTACCTGGGAATAACTGTTGGTCTGGGTTGAATGACACCTCAATAGATTCCAGCAGAGTGTCCCTCAGCTGTTTCTGAACATCATCCTGTTTGATCAAACATGTGTGAATAAATGTAAAGTCATCTTAAAAGACTTCATTACAGTAATGTACCATCAGTTCATTCAGTAGAGCCAACACTTTATCTTTGGCTTTGTCAAACATTGTGTTCTTTACTTTCTTCAGGTGCTTTTCAACTGTATCTTTCATTTTCTTTAAACTGCCGTCACCTCTGTGCTGTGCTGCTTCTGCAATTGAAAAGTATAAAACAGTCTTAATAAACTGTAAACACGTGTTTGAACATGACATGAAACACTGACCTTTGTAGCATTCTTGCATCGTCTCTTTCACGGTCTCCGTCAGACTGCTGTGGATGATCTTTTTGCGATGGAGAATATCTTGGCACACTTTGGTTGTAACCTTGGTTACCTTATAAAACCAAACATGTCAATAATAGTGAACTGTTCAAGTTATTTTGTATGTCATCATGTACATGATGTAATACCTCACTGCTGATAAATGTCAGATGAAGTTCAAAATTCTGGTGCTGCTGAATCAGTTCGCTTTATGTCAAGTGAAAATGCACGAATTACTCCATATAAAGGTCCAGAATTTGTATCATTTCTAAAAACAGAAAAGGCCCAATGATTAGAGCTCTGGATTAAAAGTACACTATCTACGTCTCCTGATGAATGGACTATTCATATTCGTACGGGAATGTTTCTCTGAACTTTTCATCTATGCTCTCAGTCAGAGAAGATGATAATGTTGCATTGAGGTCGATTTGTCTCTTTTTTTTGTGGACGCCATCGTTTTCCAATGCCCATCCTTAGTGGCATGTGAAAACTACTCCCACCACCTTTCTGCTTCTTAAAAAGACACAAAACAAGACAAATTCAGACACTGATGTGAATGAAATGATAATTCATGTTACAGATGTTCTTACAGGGTTTAAAACCTGGAACAAAGCCTTTTCACACTTAATCTTTGACTCCTTCACACCCTCACTCAGGCAAGTGTCAAACTCCTGAAACACTTTGTCCATGGACTCCTGGACTTTCTGAAGCTCTCTGAGTATGATTCCAGTCAGGTTCTTAAACACTTGTTCAGTCTGATGAGAATCCTGAAATAAAACAGTGCAAAAGAAACAAATAGCTCAAAGTGACACAGAGTGACACAGCAGAGGTGTGTGCATCTGTGTGTGTGTGTGTGTGTGTGTGTGTGTGTGTGTGTGTGTGTGTCTGTACCATATTTCCCAGTTTTGCTCCTTTGATCAGAGACAGAATCCCATTGGCTCCGTGGACATAGTTCAGAGTTTGTTCATGTTGGTTATTTAGATTTTGAAGTTGCTGCTGAAGTTTGTGTATTTCTGTAACACAAATACAATGTAATTACAGATCACCTTTGGGACACACAAGTACTTTGATTTAAGGTTGGGCAATTAATCAAACTAATTTGATTAATTTGGGTTTAATAATTGAGATTTTGAAAATCGTGAAATTGAGGGTTATTATGAAATCAGTTTACTCTTAACTTGCAAAGCAGGGTTAATGTGCAATTACAATTAGACATTTATACAAATGTAATTTAAGGTGGTTTAAATCTTCTTCAATAATAGCAATAATAGCATATGATAAGAATGAAAACATAAAGAGTCATTTGAAAGACAATCAGTTCCTGCTCTGACTTCGATTAAAATCAATTCAAATCTTAATTGTTTACAAAAGGTAAATATACTGGCCAGTCTTACTTTGAGTCTGGATGTTTAATACTGATCATGCACATTTTTTACTCACCAGTTAGAACACGCTCACGTTTTTTTCCTGGAGTGAAAAAGTCTTTAGAGCTCACAGTGAAAACTTCAAAACAGTCATCATTAAATTGTTTCTAGAAAACAGAACAGTCCCTTTCAGGTGAGTACAAAATCTGTTACTGATAATCAACAATAAGCAAATACTGCAGCAAATACTGATGTGTGTTCCATTGTGTGAACATTTACACACATGATAAAGTTTGACTGTAATAGTTACACAGAGTTGACAGTGTCAGTAAACTCACCTTGACTTTGTGAAGTTTATTGAATGTTTTATTCACTTTGTCTTTGGCTTTTGAGTTTCTTGTCAAACTATAATATATAACAGAATATTTAGATTTAATATACAATATAAGCACATTTATACCACTTACTCTTTGTTATCCCCTTCGTCACACTTGGTGCAGATGAAGTAAATCTGTTTACATTCTCCACCGTTCCCCATGAGGTCACATGTTCTCTCCAGGATCTCCCAAGCATCGCTGTCAGATGCTGCTCGGGTAATTTCAGACACAACACATACAGTTGAACAACTGGCCACAATCTGAAACACATTTGTTCATTAACTGTAGAAGTTACACATCACATTTCACCAATATTTTGTAATAAAATACCTTTGTCCACATCTGATCTCTGCTCTTATTCCAGTCTCCATTTCCAGGAAGATCCACTAAAGTGACGTGTTTAAGAATTTCACTGTTTGGTACTTTCACAGTCACACACTTCACCAGGGGCCAGAACCATCCTTTTCCTTCATCGGGGTCACTTCTGGTGTATTTGTGAATTTCCTTAGCCAATGTTTTGGCCTGAAATAATTTGTGAAATAAAATTACCCATCAGATTAAAGAATCATGATAATGTTTTAGATTTTAACAGTCACCGATTTGACTTGCACCATCTTTTTTCTGTTCTCAAGAAATTCTCGTATTTCTTTAAAATATTTAGGCTCCATCAAGTTTTCAGGAGATCTGTCTTTCCACTCATCTCCATAAAGAGCAGTCATTTTTTCCATTATATTCTTCATATTCTTTATTGTCTCTATTTTGTTCATTTAAAAGTTTTTTGGAAAACTTCACCTCATCTTCCCATTCCTTAAAAACATTAAATGTTTCCATTCATTAAAGGCATAACATACGTTCACTGTTACATATATTTCCCAATAAAACCACATTTACCTCTTTAGATATGAACTCTATTTCTGCTTCATATGTATCGTTTTGTGTATTAGCCTCCACTTTGGTCACGACTGTGGTGCGTGCTTGTACTTCTCCAGTGGGTAAAAGATCTTTCTCTTTAACAATGGCATTAATCAAGGAGCTTTTTCCTGAACCAGTTTTACCAAAGACTCCAACCAGGTTTTTTTTCTCTGTACCCAAGTCCCTAATTTGTTTTCTGAAAGAAATGAAAGTTTTTTTATATAAACTGAAACTCAGTTTAAGAAATGAATAATAATGTAGAGTGTTCTTACCTTAAAAATTCATTGAGTTTGGTGTTTTCAGAATTACTCAATGTGATTCGGACCCCTTCCATTATTTCTTTCACCTTATTCAGTATTAAGTCTGTCCAAATACATAAGAATGTTGTTGGATTTGTAGAATAATGGTGGGAATCAAACCAAATATTTACCCTTCAACAAACCTGGTGCAGTGTCACACTGTGTTTCAGGCTGTGGATGTGGAATATTCTGTTCTGAGATGATATGAGAAAAAAAGTTACTCATTTGAGTCGTTCAATATTTATGATGGATATAACGTATTATTTATAAAGTTTATGTACCCTACCATTTCCAAGTGCTCTACTTGAAGATGGAAAATCCTAAAAATAAACACTTGACTTATGTACAAAACTACACCAGACACAGATAGTTACAACTTTCTGTATGAACTAGGCCTAAACTTCTAAGGTTTATAGAAACACCTACTATGATGGCTCCCATAGAGTTGTCTGAGTCAGAGTTCCCCTCTGTTGGCTCCTCTTTGATGTGAAGGAGCTTCACACCTGAGCTTCTTCTGTCCTCTCTGTGACGTGTCAGCGCGACTCTGTGAGGACACTCATTTCTTTAGTGGACATACAAAAAGTTCTACTCACAAAATGATAAAGGAGCCTTAAGTCTATGTTTATTATTATTTTCATCAACTGACATTAATCGCTCCTGAGAAACTACAATCAACTCACACCACACTCCCCTCAAATCTATCTGATGTTGGACTTTGACCTGTGGTGGGAGAACTCTAATGAACAAAGGAACCTACCTGTAGGTACTCTTTAAGTCGGTTTTTGAATCTGATTCTTTGTCCTGCTTTTGGAATTAAGCGCATGAGTTCATTTTCATTTTCTAAAAGGCAGAGAAAACTTTCTTCGTCCATTTCCTCATCTGTATCAAAACACATAATAAAATATTTGTAACATCTTAGGTTATAAATGTTGACATACTGCAACAAACAGCTTTACGATTACCTTTAAATGTCTGAATCAAGTTGGTTAAGTCCCATTCAGTTAAACGTTCACAAACAAAGTCGTCCATAATGCCAACACCGCAACTATGAGGGATAAAAAAGTTCATCAATACCTAATAGTGAAAGGCAGGATAAAGATCAGAGACAAACACAATGGAGAAGCCCGGTTACAAAACAAAAAACTGGTTAGACTATTAGGCTATGACCTATTCTACAGGGATGGAGAGCTGTTACCTGGTCCACTTCAGGGCTGCTGAAAAGACGGAGGAATATTGGTGCTGAATGTTGTAGGTTATTTAAGGAAAACATTAGAGAAACTCCTCCCTTTTTTTTTTTTGTCATTTCACTCTGGTCTGTCAAGTCAGACCAGTGTGGCAGGGGGCATGTTTCACTTAAAAACAGCTCACACAAAATCATAAACACAATTTTAGTTTTCCTAAACTTTCATTTCATTCACTTTCACAGAGCAACTTAGAAGTTTTAGTCCTGCTCTCAGTGACCACAGAGAATCTGGTTTAGTGCAGTGACCAGTGAGGTTCATACTTTACATGTTTTGCACTGGAAATGCTTTGCTTTTTTGTCTAAAATCTGTCTGTATTGTTTGTAAAATGGAAATGTACACATTACCAATTGCAAAGTAGTTTTGCGGTATTTTTTTCAAAATATTCATGCTGAAGAAAACTGAAAGATGTTAGACTAGAAAATACACAAACATTACTTTTCTACTGTAATATGTAATGGATTCTTGAAAATCAAGCAGGACATTTCCTCGTCTCATGTGTATATCTGTGTGTCTCTATAGTCTGTGCTCTCAGCTGAGATTCTTCTTCTACTT